GCAACTATTAAATAAGCGATCCTTTATAAATTGTAGAGCTTTTCAAGCTGCATCTTGTGGTATATTTTGTTTTTTTAATACAACATATTAAGTGATAATAAAATGAAATACAAAAATGTTCTATCCATTATGATCTAATGCTACCAGCTAGTTTCCAACAAAAAACAGTTTTTATCGAAATTTTATTATTATGATATCAGTTGAATAGTGATCAAATAGCATAGAAAAATACAGCGAAAGACACTCTATCTTTTCATAAAAAAAGAAAATTTTTTCAACGTTTCTATAAGGAAATTTGGTAATGGCGCCACTACTTTTGGATACCCCTAAGTAGAAACCTCTTCATCAAGTTTTGGAAAACTTAAAAATTTCGATTCATTTTTTAGAAACTAGTTCTATAGTACTGGTTCCTAATTTAGCATTAAAAATAATCTATACTAATGTTGTTTGATTAAATTGAAAGTAAAAGGTCTACGTCAAGCAAATATCTTAACGAAGACTTTTGAACTTTATTTGTGTCATTCTGTTTATCTAATCTACTTTTTTTTAAAGTTAAGAATATGAAAAAAAATACCATAAGAAATCGCCTGTCTTCAAATTATATTTGATCTTTATCTCAGAGTTAGAATAGTTTGAAAGCAGTCAATCAGAACAGTTATGTTTTAATTGCACAACCGAGAAATATTGGGTAGATATTTTCTTTTTTTTCGATAATACATTCGAATAAACATACATGATGAACTCGAAGAGTTTATTTACTTGAGACCTGTACAATTGTCAACTGAAGCTCGTTCGATTTGCATTTGGTCCATTGAAGTACGAAGCTTTGATCTGCAATATTTTCTATGTGGATCAAAACAGCTCCATTTCAATCGAACCAAACTTGCAGTTCTACACTACTATTTATGATTGGAAAACTGTTTATTTTACCTTTCAAAATGTAAAATAGACAATAGCCAACTGTTATGACTTGTTGAATAATATTTTTCGTTTATAAAATTGAAAAGAATTCCTTCAGATGATGTATGACAAAAAATTCAATATTACAGCTTTCCTTTTCATTATTTTTGGCTTATCAACTTGGCTCGATATCATTGGAGTTGGAATAGAACTTCCATTGATTATCAATTACGTACCTGAAGGGTGGGCTTTACCGTCCTATGTTGGTTTAGCTGTTTCGATCAGTACAATAATACCACTTATCATTATTCTACTCAAATTTATTTTCAAGCAACATCTCGACGAACGTATTTTCATTTACATGGAAATTATTATCGGAATCTTTTCTTGTGCTCTACTTAGTCAATATTGGAATAAAACAAGTTGGATTTTCGGTGGTCAACATTCTGTTTTATTTATTTTTTTTGTTTTTCTTCTTGGCACTCTTAGTACAACATCAACAATTACATATTATGATTATATGAAACGATACAATGCAAAACTATTGGATGCTCTTCTTTTTGGTGAGAATCTCGCTTGTGTCGTGCCAGTCATCCTTGCATTGATTCAAGGCATAGGTGGTGAACCAATCTGTTTACCTAACTCGATACAAATCGAATATTCACAACCTCGTTTTTCTGTTCGAGTCTATTTTTGGATTTTAACATTTATCATATTTCTATCATTTATTGCTTTTCTCATTCTCGAATGGGCCAAGATTGCTGATTCATATCGAATTGAAGATTATAAATCATTGAACACTTACGAACTAAATTCACAAACAGATACTTCATCTCTTATTCAAAGCGAGCCATCATTCGAACCAATGAGCACAAAGTTGTATCATTCTCTACTTGCTGTTGCATACTTTTCATACATTTTTCTCTATGGCATTCTACCAATAATTATTACTTATGCTATGTTACCGTATTCCCATACTGCATTCTACACATCAAGTATTATCCCACCTATAACAGGTCCACTATCAGTTATTATTAACCGTGTCAATAAAAATCGATTAGGGTTGTCATCTATAATTATCCTATGTTTTATAGCAACGTGTACATCTACTTATGTTATTATCATAGCCATTCTCAGTCCTTGTCCACCTCTGCATGATACTGTATTCGGTGCAATTATTGCTCTAGCTTGTGTTTTCACTTCACAACTCTTATATAACTATGTACGTGTAGTCATAGCCAATCGTATTCGACAAGAATACAAATGTAACAGTGGATTATTTTGGCTTGGAGCTGTCTTTCGCATGGGTACGTTGAGTGGTGCAATACCGATGTATGTTCTCATCAACATATTTCATATTTTTAAAAGTCGTGAAGCCTGTCGATCTTACTGTTAAATTATTCTTTTGTTTGGTTTTTCTCAATGGAATATATTTGAAGTGCTTCATAAAACCTTGAAATTTTTTATAAGTCTTTGAATCGTAACATGATGGTATGAATGTTGAAATAAATAGTTAATAAATGTAATTTCCTTGCGTCGAAGAAGTTCACATACATGTGAATGCATTTCTCTTTTGATTCTATCACGGATTTCAGTAGAACTATAGTTTTATACATTCAACATTGATAAATTAATTTATAAACAGAGATATGCGAAAGTCTTGTGATGCTCTAGAGATACGCATGTTCAAGCACGATCAATACATTGGATAAATTATTACAATATGTGACCTTATCGTTTATATACTATTCAAAATTCTAGCGGGGGTATGGGTTCAGCTTCAATCTATATAATCGTATATGAGTTTTTCTTTTGAGTAACCCGAAAATAAAGATAAAAAACAAAATATATATCTTTTCATTGATCACAATCAATTTATTCTAAACATTCACTTTTTTGTTTACTATCTTCTACTTTACAAAACTTCAGTAACGTGGTAAGAATTCTTCAATCTTTTCCTATAAAAACTTTTTCTAATATAATTTTGATCATTAAGTATGTGTATAAAGAAGGTAGATATTTTTGATATATGTACGAGAAAATTAAATATAACATTCGAACGCATTGCCAAGTATACAAATCATAATGAGTAGTGGTGGTATAGAAAAATCCTGGTGGTTCTATATCTGTTGTTTGAGTATCATATTTAAGATCTATTTCATGTTTTAAATTTCGAACTAACATTCAGAGAGTGCAAAGAAGATGAGTTGAACAACGACTAATTAAATGTAACATTTCAATGATATGATAGAGTTATTTAGTTGAGAATGAGAGAATAGATTTTGATTATTTGATGATGAAATATTTGATAAATGTGAGAGAAGTTCATAGCGATAAAAAGAAATATCAAAATAACAGACACATATTGTCGAGAACAGAATAACTGTAATATGGCTGTTGTACTTAATAATACTTGTTTAATATCTACGCAAGTACTTTACCATAGATATACAGATATCATTGAAATAATCAGAACGGATAAAAGAAAACTTCATGAATAAAAATGGATGATATTTTGTGATCAAAATATAAAATATTAATGAAATGAATTTCATTACTAATCATAGTTATCAAAGTCAAATGCGATATATGAAATTAAATCGATACCTAACCATATTATTCTATAATACAAAGGTGTATAAATATAATTAATCATTGAAAATTGCTTATAAAACATCAGAAATTATTATCAATCCATAATCATATTCCGTTATTTAAACGAAATACTGTGTTCTGTATATATTTATTGACCTAGCCTATCTGAAAGACCTTAATAAAATTGAATTATTTTCACATCAAATCTACAACACCATTATTTCATATCATTATCATAAAAATATCTGAGTGTCACCCAGTAGACTATAAATTTACAATATGTTCACTAAAAACTACGTCCAATATTATAAATAAAAAAGAATAGGAACTGGAACTACGTTTGTTTTTTACAAGGTTTATTGAATTGAATACTTCACTCTACATAGAAAAATTTTTATAAGTAACCGGTATTGATAATTTTTGGTGGTTATCTATAGTTAGTTATTCGAGTTTTATTAAAGAAAAAAGGAACGCTGTTAATTCTCAAATAAAACGAGTCTGAGGTAAGACGTGTTGTCAATAGTATTTTTAAAGCAAATGGTACAAAAACTGCATGAAATATTTTTCCGTTCATCTTATTACGAATATGGTTGAGAACATTAAAAGATTCTGACAAATGGAGACAATTTGTCTGATAAATAATGTCATAAGTTCAAATCAAAATAATTAGTTCAAGTCAAATCTCTGAATAACGATGGAGAAATTTTGTGTTTTATTAGATAAAAATTTCAACGATGAAAGGATGAGGGTAACTGTTATTTTAAAGATTCTGTATATGTTATTCATTTTAGTTTCTATTTTTTCTCTCAATCAGTATTTTCATTCTCGTGCCACTATTAGTTATATATATATACAGGGTATCCCAAAAGTCACGGTACCGAGAAAAAATTGAGTATCTTCATTATGGCTCGACCGAACGGGATCATTTTTTTTACCAAGGATAGAGGCATGTTCACACTCCAAATCCATACGGATAAGGATAGTGAGAACCTTTGTTAAGTATCACTATTGACCTCAACAAGAAAATTTTACTTTTTCACAGATAGGAAAATAGAACAATATACTTAACAAATGTTCTCACTAGCCTTATCCGTATGGATTTGGAGCATGAACATGCCTCTATCCTTGGTAAAAAAAATCAGCTCGTTTGCTCGAGCCGTAATAGAGATATTTAATTTTCTTCTAGACAGTAATTTTTGCAGCATCCTATATACTAGTTTTTTTCCCTACTTGTGAAAAAGCAAAATTTTCTTATCGAGGGGTGTGGGTATACTTATATCTGGCATTCACACCCACACCCCATCATAGACCTCATATAACTTTTTATAAGTTCATCGATTACTTATACAAAAATCTAGAGAAGAGATTAAAAAACACACTAAAACAAAATAAAATAAGAGATTATCAAAAAAAAGAAATATTACTTAACTAAAATACTTTTTAAGAAAATTCCTATTTTGCACTTTTATTGAAGATAATTGTCGTTTATTACTAATTGAGTTTGACTTTGTAACTGAATATTTTAAAAATTTCAAGTTTTGTAAATCCTTTTAAATTGAAAAAATAAATGTATAGAGTAATGAAAAAAACAAAATTTGCGTATATTCGACTTATAATTGTAAATGTTGGTATAAAAAATTCTAACCGAAAATGAACCACTTTAAAAAGAAAACTAAAGATGCTTCTTGAAAATTAAATTCATCATAATATACTCATGTGTAACATTAATTTTATAAATGGACATTAATGGAATTCACCAATGTATTCATTTCCAGACGACACCTAAAAACAAGAGATTGAATATAATATAAAGGGGTGTGTGGGTGGGTGTGGGTCTTTTCTATGTTCACACCTACAGTCACCCACACCTACCTCCCACGCCCACACCCACACTCACACCCTACACCCACACTCCACATCCCACACTCACACCTGAAAATATGCAAATAATAAATCAATAGCTGATGAAATAGGTTTCTACTCTGATTCACAGTTCATACATCAACTTATTACAAATCCAAAAGCTCAACAACTTCTACAAGGTTCCTGAGACAGCTAGACGCATGAAACTATTACAAGATCAACCAAATAATATTACGTATGTTGATCATATAGCATAGTCCCAATGTGAAAGTACATTAGTTTATTTTATTTAGATTATTGACTAATCCGGAAGTACTAAGATTGATTGAAAGTGTACTTGATGTGGGCGCGGGCACTGTAAATAACCATGGCAATCAAAAAACAATGAATGCAAAAAGACAAACAAATACGCCGACAACAACTACAAATAAACAACAAAATAAAACTTTAACACTAGAACAAAAACAAGTAATAAAATATATAGAATAGTCCGTACAGAGCTAGATGATAAACACAATCCATCAATCAGATTGTTCTTTTTTCTCAATGATAGATAGATTTTACCAAAATGTTTCTTTTTCACACAAGGAAAGTCGTCGGTGAATAGTATGTTGAATTAGCACTTTCCTCTGTGATATTAGCCATTACTTAAGACTGAAAATCTCAAACTTCTAGCATATGGACTTCATTAGAAATTAAGGTCAAAAAGACTAGCTTAGTTATGGTCACTTGATTTGAAGACGATTTATCATATATCATGAGTCTTCTTACTATGAGTTCTATCATCCAACAAGAAATGTGAATTACTATCCCATTAATCTATCATTATACTAAATAGTTATATAAAATCAAAACAAAGTATTGCTGGCATTATCGAATGATAAAATCTTTTCTCTTCTTGCATTAAATAGGTTAGAATTACAAAGATTATCATCAAACATGCTTAACCCAAATTAGTATAATAGAATATACTTATTCGTTGAAGTCGGTATGTGAACTATCAATTACACTTGAGTGTACATGTTATTCAAGAGAAAGTTCGCACGTTTACATTGTTTCTCGCTGAAAGCATAAAATTCTTTTATTGTCTACTTATCTATGGTGTTTTCTATATCTATACTCTTTTTCCCTATTTATTTTCGTTGAATTGTTATTGCATTATGCCGACGAACAAAAGAAGAAGAGTAATGAAGCATACAAGAAAAACAATGTTGAAACAGCATTAAATTATTATAACAAAGTAATAAAACTTGATTCAAACAATATGAGCTATTATATCAATAGAGCAGGTTAGGATTGAAATTCCATACATTTGATCAAATATGTTATTTTCTAGCTGTTTATTTCGAACAAAAACGATGGGACGATTGTATAAAAGAGTGTGAAAAGCTATAGATATTGTACGCGAAAATAAAGCTGATTATAAATTAATTGCCAAGTAAGAATGAAAGAAACAAAGAAGAAATGTGATGAAGAATATTATTTGTGTACTATTTTGTTTGTAGAGCTTATGCTCGTATAGGAAATGTAAAACTACAAGAAAAAAAAACTATCAAGAAGCTATTAAATATTTAAATCAGTCACTTTTGGAACATGAAAATTTAGATGTAATAAAAAGAAAAGAAGAAATTGCAAAGATCCTTAAAGAACAAGAACGATTAGCTTGTATTAATCCGGAATTAATTGAACAAGAAAAGACTAAAAGAAATGAATTTTTTCAAAAAGCTGATTATCCAAGTACACTTAAACATTATACGTAAAGTCAACTGTTTTGATGTCTATTGAGCACATGATTTCTTCAATTGTTCATGTGTTGTAGTGAAGCTATTAAATGAAATCCATCAGACGCACGTCTTTATTCGAATCGAGCAGGTTGTTTTATAAAACTAATGGAATTTGGATTACCATTGACAGACAATGCAGAAGGAATTAGAATTGATCCGACGTTTGGTAAGTTTTCACAGCATGAACGAATCGACAGTTAATCAGTTTGATTTTATAGTTGAATGTTACCTTCATAAAGATCATGCTTTAATGGCCATGAAAGATTTTTCTCAGGCTATGACTGCCTTTAATAAAGCTCTTGAAATTCATCCAAATAATCAAGTAAAGAAAAAAATAAAAGAAATTTGATTTTGATCACAGATATCAACAAAGTGTGTTTAGGAAGCGATGAAAGGTTATCAGCAATGTACAGTTGGATTAAGTCATGATTCTGAACAAGTCTGTAAACGTGCACTCGTTGATTCTAAAATTCAACAAATTCTTGATGATCTCAGTATGTGTTTAATACTTGATCAAACGTAGGATGAACCTCTGGCAATACGCGAACATTTATGAAATCTTGCTATCGCACAAAAAAATTCAACAATTAATGGATGCTGGTATTATTACTATTCATCATATTTAATGGGACTCATGCAATGACATGTCAGTTTGACGTGTGAATGTATAGTGAAAAAAAAAGAAAAATGAGCTGTAAGTTCTTTTTTTAATGTTTCATAAATTTTTTATATCATTTTTGTTACATCAGTGATTTGCAATTGTCTTAGGAAATTTTAAAAATTATCTAATCAATAAATCAATATCGATCGGAATAGTGACTTCAATAAAATATTGCATCATCTTAAATTTCGTTTGTTTTTGAATGTTTCGGTCATAGTAATCGATCGACTTGTTTAAATTCTTTTATCGAAATTTGATCAAACTGAGAAATCATCTTTTAATCCATGTAATGCACTGATGCTTTATGCAATCATTGTCATAAATTATATAATGATGCAAGTATATGAATGATTACTTTGTACGAAAGCATGAACTTAAATTAGAAGACCACTATTCATCAATACTTACGCGTGTGACACGATAGTAGTCGTCAATAAGTGATTAATAATAAACACTCTGATAATTTAACTGGTATTAGTAAAAACTTAGAATAAGAATTGTTTCCACTACATATTCGATAATTATGAACAATTTAAAGAGTTGACACAATCTGATTTCAATCTGGACTTATGGAGTGATGTAATTTGGTGGCGGATTTACTTTATTTGAATTGACACCAATATCAATATATTCCTACAACAAACAGCTCAATGCTACTCGAATTCTAAATCTGTTTGAAGCATTAGCGACAGTGAACTGTTTCAACTATAAGTTTCTATACAAGTTTATGAAATATATCGAAAAACCAAATTTAGTTTACATACTGGAGTTATTGTTTCTTTTTTGTTTGGCGTGATTATCGCCGAGAATGATGAAATCGATATTTCATCTAGATCAATGAACGGTATCTGTAACTATATCGCCATGAGTGAAATGATTGTAGATTGTGAAGTATTATGGTCACACGATATAAACTAATGATGATCGAAATAATCCTGATAGAAAAGCAGTAGCTTGTGATTGATCTAAATCGATAGTCGAATGAGATAAGGGTGTGGGTATAGGCGAGTGGACATGCTAGCTTTTGAGTTCCGTTGTCAGCGTCGGTATAGGTTGGCATTTGCGTAGTACGTCTCGTTCTCAGTTACTGCCGCATTCTCACTCATATTCATTCCTATACAGCGACGCTCACTCGCACAGCCCACATTCGCAAATAAACTTCGCAAATGGATAGGGAAGCAAGTACTCGGTAGTCTATGATAGAGCAACAGTTGGGCTTTGATATTGGAACGTAAATCGATTCATATCAAAAAAAGTTAACTAGCGTGTAGATGTGGATGTGGGTGTGGACGTGACTATGGCTGTGAATACGAGAGTGTGGATGTTGGCGTCGGTGCTGTAAGTGTCCCGGTGTCCCTAGTACAACATGTACATCCACACTAACATCCATACCCACTCACATCCACACCCATCCGTATTGAAACGCATTCCTGACAAAGAGAAACAATAAGATGCTGTGATGATGACGAACATGTGTAAGATGAGGACAGATTTGCAATCTGAGATTGAAATGAATGATCGAGAAGGGTGGAAGTATTTTTGAATAAAAGAAACTGCAACTTCTATTAAAGCAGCCTATCAATTGATTGATTCTCAAAATAATCAATGCGCAAAACAATGGAAACAAGATCAATGTAAATCATAAATAAATGAAAACCTACAAACACAATTGTATAGTAATTTTATTTGCAAACTCGAGCGTCCTGCTCTGAAAGCTCGACATATAGATGAATTATTTATTTTTGCAGATTACATGAAGATCTTGTAGGAGTTCGAATTATAATATTACGATGAAGCGAACTTTATTTATTTCATTCGCTACTGATTGACTTCATCGATTTGCGTCTGACGGTTCATCAATAGCATGATATGCACTCTTTGTATTGCGATTATTTTAAGTTTAGCTCGGAGCATTGACGGAATGCATTTTCTCGGTGGTACAATTACTTGGCGCCCGTCGAATGCATCGGCCACCGGAACACCCGTCGATATAGTAATAACGCAAACATACTCATGGACGTACTCATTAGTCCTATGCACAGAAAACATGACGGCGAACAACGACTTGATTCCTCTGATATCTCAATATACATCCCTTGCACTGAGGACATTAGATTGCATAGACAACTGCGGATCCAGTGGTGGTTACATACCACCAAAGGTTCAACCTCGTTGTACAGATATTTCAGCACCTGTTGGCACCACTGTCGGACAACGTTTAGACATTGTGAGCATACAGTCGGGCGCGGATTTTTCTATCGGCTACGGTGATATAGGTTGGCGTGAGTTGGCACAGGGCACAAATCTTAATTGGTCTATATCAGCACGTATAAACCTCACACCGAGAATCGCCACTGGTCTTTACAATAATGCTCCCGTGGCTACCATGATGTCTCCTATCAATATTCCAAAGGATCAACCAACAGTAATCCATGTTCCAATTGCAGATGCTGATGGAGACAATCTTCGCTGTCGTTGGTCTACTGGAATCAATGAATGTGGACTGACGTGTCCACCGACTTCACTTCCAGCGAATACAATCATCTTTCCTAACTGTACCATTGTAATTACTGGGACGATTTTAAACAAGTGGTATGCTGTCACACTTATGGTAAAAATATCGTTTATTTTTTTAAATCCAACAATTGAATTATTTGATAGGTCGAGGATTTCAGCGATAGCTCAAGTACTACGCCACTAAGCGCAACACCCGTTCAGTTTCTTGTGCACGTTATTACTCCGCCATCATGCATTACTCCGCCCAAAATCATTGGCAAACCTATTGAACAATCTTGCACATCAGTTATTATTGGTCAAACATTTACATCGGTCTTATTTGCAGAAAATACATGTGGACCAAGTGTGACCATTGTCGATATTGCTACACTCTCCTATGCCGGTGTACTCAAAGGCAACACGACGATGTTAAATGAAACAACCTATTACAAGAGTTT